TGGGTCTGATCCGCAGATACGCTTACAGATGCAGAGGGCGTAGTATGAATGATGAGAACCTCTCTGCCTTCTATTCTAGTTTGCTGACGAACTTGCAGAAGAAGGGAAGAAGATCCAACGACGTAGCGGAAGCGGTCAACAAATATCAAGGACTCGTGCAGAAGGTGAAGGATCATGGGGATCGTTTGTCTGCATTACTTGTCTCAAAGAGACGGCTCACGGAGAAAAAGTCTGTCGAGAGAAGTGTACATGCGGAAACATCTACCGGAGAAGCGACACCAGACACGAAGTGGCCATCTTCACTTGTAACCAAAAAGATCAAGTATCAATACTCGACCAAGCAGAAGTACAGTGTGCCTGCACGCCGCTACAGTGGCATGGACGGAGCGCAGTCTATGTCAAGACGTCTGCAAAAGCATGCGGTGGACCCGCACACGCTAGATTTGGATATTCATAACTGTGCTTTTCAAGTCCTGCATCAGATCATCCAGAAGACCCAGCCCAAGCCTGCTCTGCCCAAGGATCTGGCGGATGTGTTTGAAGAGGTGACCACGAAGCGTTCCACATTTCTTGCTCGATTGAATGTGGATGCTGCNNGCATGTTATCCATACGGTACTGAATGGAGGGGCACCGCCTGAGAACTTGAAGAAAAATGAAGCCATGTCATCGCTGCAGAAGATATCACTGTATATCCGCTGGGTGGCTATGAATCTTCTATATGACGATTACATGTCCCTGAAGGAGAACAAGGATAAGACTTTCCCGTCCGCAAGCATTATGTCCTTGATGTGGCAGTCGGTAGAGGATATGATTGTGCAAGCATGGGCAGAGCATGTCATTGCATTGAAGCCAAAACACATTTCTCTACATTTTGACGGTATCCGCGTGTCCAAGGAAGTGGCAAGTAATGTGGAGTCACATATTGAAGAATGCCAGGAGGTAATCAAGGAGAAAACTGGCTTCACTGTTAGTATAGTGAGGAAGACACACGGCACCTTCAGAGAACTGGTGGCGGAACGCGGCACGCCATGTGCAGCGGGCAAGAATATACCACAGCAACTATTAATGGTTGGCAACTGTATTCCTTGCAGTTTGTGGCATTGCTTTCAAACATCAAGGACCGCGATTGCTGCATCCATACAGGACCCTACACAAAACGGCAACGAGGAGGCCAAGAACCTTGGGTACAGAAGTTACAGATCCGTGGCAGCAACAAATGGTATTGAGCTGGTAGGGTGTATAGGTTTGCCTCCCGAGTCCGTGAAGTCGTTCTTGCTTCACTATGAAGGCAACGGACATCCTCACTGTATTTGTGTCAGACATGATGCGACTGGTGGCTGCACAACCATATTAGACGGTGGATCCGGATTTCGTATGACTGTTCGACAGCTGAAGGAAATCGTTTCCTCTTCTATAGATGAGTTGACTATTATTTCTTATTGGAAACCTACAGACGAGAATCGACCTGAATCGAAGAACGTAGTTCTACTTGACATGGTGGCAGGTGCAGCCGATGAGGAGTCGGATTTCAGCGCGGAATCCGAGAAGGCTACATCATCGCGTAAGCATTCTGAAGATCCGGAAGCGCCGTTAGTTATAGACGATGGTATTCTGCGCATGTTAGAAGATGAAGTCAAAACCCTGCTGGAGCAAGCCAAGAAACCAAAGCATCCGGTGAATGGCAGACATCAATGCCCTGGATGCCCATTCCGGTCATTCAAGGAACGCCGCCGGCTAAGGACACATCTAGAGAAATATCACGTGCTCAAGAATCAGTACGTGTCGTCAGGAACAAAGCAGTTGAAGGTTATATTGGCTCTGTATGATCATGCAGCGTCCTCACAGCAAACACCCAGCAATTTACTTCAGAAGAGTGCAAGTCTCATCCGAGATAGCGTCAAGCCGCCGCTACCTGCATCGAACAACCTTATTGACAAGCAGATTCGTCTAATACATGATGCGGCTGGGCCTCGCTATGTAAATGTATGCCAACTGGAGGATGAGCTACATGTGAGAAGGGTAAGGAACAGATACTATACAAAGGCCTTTGGTGATCTCATCCTGAAAGAGGCGGTGCTTTGCTACGCTCAGGCTGACGAACTTCAACATTTGTGTTTCATTAAAGTGTACTGAGTAGTAAATGCGGATTATTTTTATTGTACACATACAGTGCAGGTCAGAACGATGGAGACTCGACTTCACGTCGCGGCCATGGCAGCTGGCAGCACCATCTCCACTCTGAATCCCACGGGAGTTCGACACTGGCTGCCGATCCTGGAGGACGTTGCGTATTCTCCAGCACTAGAACAAAAAATGAAGGACATGACTTCATATCTGGAGGATGGTGACGAGTGGCACTACATAAGCATAGATGCTACCATGAAGGTCTGTCTCAAATTGAAAGGTCAGGCACCGCACCGAATGTCTAAGGACATTCGAGATTCCGCGCCTTTTGGCGATGAGTTCGCTTGGAGAAGACTTCTTACCGTCAGAGGTAGGACCGGAGCTGTTCTACTACTCCATCCTCTTCAGGATGAATCTGCATCCCGTATAGTGGAGGCGTTTTCTGTTAACTTTACACAGACACAGCTGGCGACCATCGTGCACGTCGCTTCGGACAGCCCTTCTGAGAAGTTATACAGTGAATTACGTGCGATATGCCCTTCGCTTAAATCCTTGATGCTGGATCCGGTTCATCTCGCGATAGTCTACGAGTATGGTTTTTGGAACAAGAGGAGTACTGGGTCCAAACAACTCCGGCGGATTCTTAGCAAATGCAGCGCAGTGGATGAGCATGGCAGACCCAACTTCCTGGGTAGCTACTATGATGGGACACTATCTCGTCCTTTAACTGCCGCTGAAGTAGAATCACGATCCATGATTTTGGAAATGTCTATGTCAGAACATGAGGCCAAGGACATACTCGACAACGTTGCTCTGGATGTTCCTTTCAGAAGCAGAATCGACTTCATTCAGTGCATCGCTGCTTTATGCAGTCGGCATGCTGCGGAAGTTTGTAGAAAAGCGCCGGGCCCAAACAAAGAGATTTATAAGATATTGTGGTCGGCTTGCGCTCCGGATCGTTTGGAATGGCTCATGAACAATATCAGAAGCCGACGCACCATGTCGATGCAGTACTTGCAGATGCTTCCTACCGGCACGTCTGGTAATGAAAGTCTTCATGCGGAGATAAATGCCTGGTCCAAGAGCACGAACGCACTGCATCGGTCTACCTTGGCACTACGACTCAGGTACTACTCATACATAAAGCTTTTGATGCATCATCTGGCAACCAAACACCCTCTGAGTCATATTGTTACAGCGCAAATGTTGCTGGGTAGGTCTCTGCATCAGTCGATATGGACTGACGAGGAGTGGGTGGCTTGGTGTACAGAACAGAAACAAGCCGGACCTATTCGGAAAGCAGCACTTCCTCTAACCGCAGCTAGAAGTCACGAGCAGGCTGTGGTAAAGGAATGGTGCGCTAAAAGACCTGCTTCTAAACAGGGATTGAGATCAGGCAAGTTGAGGCACTCGACGCCTCTCACCCTCAAGCGGAAGCATACTCTCCGCACTTCCGGTGTGAAACCACACTGAGGCACTTCAACGTTTCTGCCTACTGCCATACAAAATACTTACTCGAGTCTTGGCTGCTGCCTGCATCTGACTGCATCTCACATACAATATGCAATCTGATAGCAATTGTAGACAGCACTGGTGCAGGTCGTGCACTGCTGCGCCGAACGGTTGGGGACTAAGTCTCAGTGTTGCATTTATACTAATATAGTGACTACTTGCATAGCGTGGTGGACAATACGAGATTCACTTCATTCAACTCGGAGACTTACATAAGTAACTGGTGTTGATCATGCTGTGGCACAGCAATACACAGCCAAAGAGTTTCGTATATTTACATTGTGATCCATATGATAATATTGCGGTGGGAAGATACCGTAATATGAGATAACGAGTGTGTGTTGGAATATGATAAAAACGAATATTATGCATGTGGTATTACATAATCTAGAGACGGTATGTAATAACATAAATCTAGTCTACACACTATATTGTTATTTGCATAATATATTAATATTTATATATTAAATATTAATGTATAGTTTGTGAATTAGTGGCGGCTGGTATATGTATATATAAGAGTTCCGTAAACAAAGTTTGCCTGAGTTTTCATGATAGATGATAAGAATCCCAGGCGCATTAACCCAAAAGGTATCGGG